TTTTTTTTTAGATCAACAATTAATGCGAAAAAAGTGTTATCTACATTTACAATGAATGAAATGTAAAGCTATATGATCACAAAGATTAATATAGTATTAATTATTGCATATTGAACATTGGTGGCGCCACCACATGACCAGTAAAATCGGTGGCTGGTTGTGTTATAAAATTTTAATATTTGGTGCCTTTTTTAATGCATAAAAATCGTGAACATAATAGATTACTGCACTTTTTATATATTAGGTAAAAAAAAAAAAAAAAGATAACCTTGTTCAGGCAATAATAAGAAAAAAACGAACAGACTGTTACACACATTTGTCGACTAGAAAACTTAAGTTTACCCGCTTTATTAAATATAAATAGCATAATAGTGTACATATAATACAATAACATAATTTTTATACATATACACACTGCCATCATTATAATGGCTAAGAGGATTCAATCGTTAAATATATTATAATAAAATTATTTTAAATTTTGTTTGAAAAATTATTTCGTTATAACGAGAGAAACCCTTTAACGAATTCAATATAACAAGGGTAGAGTGTAAAAATACAATATTGCATTACATATAAATGATAAGTATAAATGTATAAATTTATCATTAAATATATATATCTTAACAATATAAACTGACAGAGAATTATTAACTAATTTGAAGCCGGCAATTAATAATTCGCTAAGTAGTCTATGATTGTTAAGAAAAAAAAGAATGTATAAAAATACATAGAATAACGAATAAAAAAAGGTTTTTATTGATGAAAATCTGGAGGCGGTAACGTATCGGGGAAAAGATCCCTCAATAGTTTTTGAAGCTTTTCATCATCGATCGGAATTGGAGCATTGGTTTGCGGACGAATCGCATCGGGAATATTTACGTTGATGATTCTTATTTTGGATGAATAGAATTGCTGAGCAGCAAGACGAGCCACACGTCGAAACTCATCTATTAGAAGAGCGTCATGCTTCTTCAGTTGATTCCACAAATTACTCGCATGTCGGGATAGATCGTGTCTTTCTATCCTAAGGTTTAAGGAAGTGACACAATCCTGTATAACATTGCGGAACAAAATGAAGCAGGTTTGTGGAGCTTTTCTTCTGGCATTATTTAGGAGATGTCTAACCGTAGGGACTGTAAATATCACGCGATTGTCTATGAAACAGACGTAAGTTTGACCACAATCACAACGAGTGAATTGTAAAGTGACTTCGTTTACAGTTGATAAGATTGAATATGATACGGCAGTCGTCATGATTGTCATCAATAATGAAACAAAAAATTGTTTCGTTTCGTTAAAAAAATTGTTTCTTTCGTTAAAAAAATTGTTTCTTTCGTTAAAAAAAAATTGTAAGGAAAATTAACGAGAATCAGAGGTTATTTTATATAATTTCGGTTCAAACATCAAATGTATTTTCAATATACAGGTTTATCTTTAATGATGAAAGTTTTGTTTAAACCTAAAAACAGCCACATAACT